TCGGCATATATTTCAATATGATCAGCATATATTCTTCGCTTAAAATGGATTGAATAAATTTCAAATAAAAGCACTGAATAAAACAGAAAGAAACCGAAGAATAAATTTTAAATATATTCAGAATATAAACAGTGAATTTGAGTTTGAAGATATTTGAAATTTATTCTATGTATGTTCAAAATTTATTCACTGAATATATAAGCCCATGCCCGCAGTGTGAATGATTAGTAATCAATCTTGGTCCACCAAAAATGAAGATTTATATGTAGCTCTGCTAAATCTGGTCCAAATGACATGGTTTTTTTGCAGTATACACTCCTTAATGGCAGGATTATTCTGAAATGAGGATAAATATAGGTAAATACAAGTAAACAGTCTAAAATGACATATGCACCCTCAGAAAACATTGGTTTCTCTGTATACTGAACTTCAATCCACATGATATCACATGGTTAAAAGCAAATGCAAACAACTTTACCATGTAGGAGGTAAAGTTGTTTGCACATGTTGAATGATTATTAATCCATCTTGAAGATTTCTACCTAGCTCTGCCACTTCTGGTCCAAATGACATGGTTTTTTTAGCAGCATGCACTCCTTAATTGTAGGATCATTCTGAAATGGGGATAAATGTAGGTAAATATGACATATTTAGTGTTGGAAAACATAGGTTTCTGTACACTGAACTTGAAGCCACATGATATCACATGGTTTAAAATAAAGACAAACAGTTTTACCATGTGTGTGGTGAAATTGTCTGCACATATTGAATGCTTAGTAATCCATTCTGGTGGAAACAAGGATTTCTACCTAGCTCTGCCACTTCTGGTCCAAATGACACAGTTTCTTTTGCAGAATGCACTCTATATATGCAGAATCATTCTAAATGTAAGTAAATATAAATAAATAGTTTGAAATGACATGTGTAGTTTTGCAAACATTGGTTTCTGTTTACTGAAGTTGAATCCACATGATATCACATGGTTTGAAACAAAGACAAACAGTTTTACTGCACACACGGTGAAATTGTTTGCACATGTTGAATAATTAGTAACACATTTTGGTGGAAATGAACATTTCTACATAGCTCTTGGTCCAAATGACACAGTTTCTCTTCCAGAATGCACTGTTTATATGCAGGATCATGCTGAAATAAGGATAAATGTAGGTGAATACAAATAAATAGTCTAAATAGTCATAAAATGGCAGAAAAATTAGAGAAAATTAAGGATGGTGCTGATTATTAGTGATGATGTTGAGTAACAGGTTCGGGGTCTAAATAGACTTCCAAATAAGAAATATTGCTCATTGACGATACTGAGGTACTCTGCTTAAAGCCCAAGATGACAATCAAATAGAAAGATATACTAGTTTTTAATAAAATATAGCTAGAAATCCAGAAATGGGTTACTATCACTCTTGCAAAATAGGACTTGTTCCTGCCATGCTTGCAATGGCCTCTTACACAAGTGGATTCAACTTCAGTATACAGAAACCAATGTTTTCCAAGACTACACATATCATTTCAGACTATTTATTTGTATTTACCTACATTTATCCTCATTTCAGAATGATCCTGCACATAAAGAGTACTTTCTGCAAAAGAATCTGTGTCATTTGGACCAGAAATGGCAGAGCTAGGTAGAGATTCTCATTTTCACCAGATTGAATTACTAGGCATTCAACATGTGCGCAGTAAACCTGTGATTAACTTCAGTATACAGAAACCAATGTTTTCTAAGACTACACATGTCATTTCAGACTATTTATTTATATTTACCTACATTTATCCTCA